GTTTGTATGCAAATTAACTTAATCAACTTTACCCATAAAAGCTAACAACTTCGGTATTTAAAATATAAAACTACAGAGTTATAGATACAGCTTATATAATCAGTCAAAAATAATGCAACATACCTGGTAAATAACTGCAATTCTTTACCAAAACTCCAGAGAAATCAATCACCAAATACTAAACTTACAATCGACTTTGCTAAAGTTCCTCTTTGAAACAAAGATGGTTAACAACTGAATGTATCTGCCAACCAATAGATCAAATGAACAAGAAACTCAGTTAAATGTACCCGCTATTATTGTTAAAGCAACAACAGCTTGAAGTTGCAATTTCATATTTTTAAGTTATATTTTTAAAATGTATTAAAATAAAGCCTAAAATTAGATGGTTTCTATAAACAGTCCTACCTTGTTAAAGAATAATCTATAATTCACTATTGCCAGTTGAGAAATTGGCAAAAATATCATTTTCAACTTCAAATTCAAACGTTTGAAGATAGCTATTCCATGCGGGGAATACAAAAACAATGGAGGTAATTGTGTTATTATTTCCGGGGTCAAGGATTTATAAGCGGGAGAATGATACCTATGATCGTATAATAGTGATCTGATAACCTATTGAGCAAAAGACATAGAAATAATTATGTTTTGACTCTCTTAGAAAATATGAAATTCTCGCTTTAAGGAAACTGACAGAAGAAATGTAAAATCTGAAAGTGGGGGTCAAAATGCGCAATACTAAAAACTAATATAAGAATTATTTGCAACTGGACATTTCAAATTAAACAATAAAACGAAATAGTGATAATTTGCATCTGACAAGATGAAGCCACGCCGGAAAATCTGAATGAACTTTTTCGGCCAATGCAGGGATCGAACACCTCCAGGCTAGCGAGCCAGCATCTTACCCACCGTGGCTGTTACTCCAGATATTAGGAATTCAGGTCAACAGTTGGCAAATCAATTTTATTGTTTACCCCATCCTCTTCGTTCAGTTCGTTGAAAAATTTACTGCCTTTCGGATAAAAGTGAGCTGCCTGGTTCCAAATAAAATTAGGGCCACCATCATCATGCTGAAAGTTAAAGCGAGAATTTCAAATTTTCTAAGAAAGTCAAAACATAATTATTTCTATGTCTTTTACTCAATAGGTTATCAAATCACTATTATACGATCATGGGCATTATTTCCCACCCTTAAAAATCTATGACACAGGAAATAACACAATTACCTCCCCTGTTTTGCTATTGACAACATGGGGCAGCCATTTTTCAACGTTGGAATTTGAAGTTAAAAATGATATTTTTGCCAATTTCTCAGCTGGCAATAGCGAATTATAGGATTAATAGGATTATTCTTTAACAAGGTAGAACTGTTTATGGATACCATCTATTTTAAGGCTTTATTTTAATACATTTTAAAAATATAACTTGAAAATTTGCAATTGCAACTTTAAAATTGGGTTCTTCAAAGTTGGCATTCGATGTCCATTTCACTTTCATATCTTCATCTTTTTAGTATCTGTTCTTCCTTGCACGCTCAACATCTGCTTTAACATAATTAGATCAAACATCCGTCTTCAAAAATATTTCAATCCAGGATGTATTATTTAAACCGTGTCAATGCACCATTCCCCTCGATTTAACAGATTCCTGTCGGTACCAAAAAGTATCAACACTAAACACGGGTTTCATGACATCTTTAAAATACGATTTCGTTCTTAGATCGAACTACTTGCTGACAATGTGTGTATTTTTCTTGCAGTGGGTTCTACCTCGCAGCGATGCCCACAAAATACAATGTAATAACCCTTTTTTTTGCAGTAGAAGTGTCTCTAATTTCTTTTAAGTTAAAGCGTCTAAAGTAAATTGGTTATAAATAATTACCACGTTCAATTCTAGATTTTTTTATGGATCATGTTGTGCACTACACATTTGAAATACTGATGACATGGAAAGCAACCATCCTCATGCCACAGCAAGTACGTAGACGTTTAATGAAAACATCACCTTTGGCTTTACCATAAGGAAAAAGTGATGGAAATGCCAGAGTAAAAAAGGTATTGGCAGGGGAATATTTCCTCTAGTTGGCCATGGAATAATTAGTCCTGTACTTTTTCAGATGTTTAATTTATTGTTATATTATCGAAAAGTTTTTTACCTGCTGTCTGATGTCTACAGATACATCAGGAAGCAGCAACCTTATCTCCAGGATGCGTGTGTTGCATCGCGCGACCCTTGTCTTCAGTGGGAACTAATAAGTTTGCATCGGTTCCAATTGTTTGAAAATCTTGTAATTCACCATTAACTGACAATTCCTCTAATCTAGTTACCGGGAATTCTCGTATTTTTAAGCCCTGGGCCCTTATTCACGAAAACTTAAACTAAGTTACAACCGAAATTTTAAGAAATACTGCAACTTCATTGGATATATGCAAATTGATTTTACTGGTCAGCGAATCAATCGAATGGCAGTATTTCTTAAAATTTCGATTTTATCTTAGTTTAAGTTTTCGTGAATAAGGGCCCTGGGCTCAATTTCGAATTTGACCATGATTAGCGGTGAAACATTTCTTCTGAAATTAAGCCCAGGGCTTAAATTCGTAAAGAAAAAATGACAAATGAAATGGGGTTTAACGTCCCACTGTTCTGCTCCTATACTGGGCTAATGAAGACGGGCATACGCCATACAGTGTGCTAAGAGGGAAATTTTGCCCAGGCAGCGGCACTATCGCTTACTCTTATATCGAATTCCAACTGCCAAGGGATCTTTTACGTGCATTCCAATGTTTACACGGGACCTGGGTTTTTCGTCTCATCCGAAGGACTACCTTGTCAGGTCCTCCGTCCTGCATCACTGACAAGGGGAAATCACGTCGGAAAATCGGGATGAACTTTCTCGGCCAATGCAGGGATCGAACACCCGACCTCCGGGCTAGCGAGCCAGCGCCTTACCCACCTAGCCACCGTGCACAACATTTGGGTTATTTTTATAATTTTAAATGGAACAAATCAAATTCATTAACAAAAATTGTTTTTAAAACACAATTGTAATACACCGTCATATAAATGTTCTGAAATACAAAAAGAAACTGTTCATAATCTTTAAACTTCAGAGTTCTTTGAACAAATCAGATCTTACAATCATCAGTACCACTCTAAAATAAATGGGCTTCAATTCGAAATTTAAACTCGTTAATAACGACAGGGCTTAAATATGAGGATTCCCGGTAATAGTTATTGAAATGATTATAAATAAAATAAAACCAAGTACGAACAATCCAAACCATATTTTGGTTATTAGTACTTAACATATCACGATATGCTGGATTATTTAACTTAAGCATTCTAAAAAAAAATCTTAATTGTGTTTCTTCGAATAACGAATTTTTGGAAGAATCATTTTGACCTTGCTTTTTTATCTTTAATATTTCTTTTCATGAGGGAGTCTGGAGAATATTTTTGCCGATTCATTTACTTCTTGTCGAAAAGTCACATAGTGTCCAGAAGAGGCAATCCTCCTATATTTTTGCATATGAACATTGATATATGGAGATGTTCTACAAATTAGCTGTTGTTCAATACTTTGTTTAACTGAATCCATGAAAACATTTTAATTGTAGATTTGTCAATAAAACAGTTCTTACATACTCGCTTTTCCTTTGATTTTTCCATATCAATCCGTGTGCAGGACGTTGGCTTGCTAACCTGAAGGTCCCGTGTTCGATCCATTCGTTGACCGAGAAAGTTCATCCAGATTTTCCGGCCCCCATGTCAGTGGTACATGGATGATGGCCTGGCGGCATGGGACAATGTATAATCATTGGCTGTTGGAATTCGATATAAGACTAAGCCGTAGCGCCGCTGTCTGGGCAAAATTTCCCTCATACCATGTACACAGAACAGTAGGACGTGGACGTTTATTGCAGCGGTGGCGATGCTCTTGTTTATTTGTTGAATCAAAACAAAGTATGTCAGCTGCGTCTCTTTAGAATGACACAAACAGCGCTAAGTACTCTCCCAGTCCAAATATATTTCACGTAAAAAATAATGTTTGTTTTTATCAGTGAACATTTCAAATGTAATCTACGCCATTTTAGGTAATTCTGGTGGTATCCAGTAATGAAGACGGGCATTCGCCATACACTGTGCTACGAGGGACATTTTGCCCCGACAGCTGCGCTACGACCCACTTTTATATTGAATTCCAATGTGTACACCATCTGCCTTATCACAGGGGATCAATTGCTCTAATCGGGTTTCTCCCGGTCGGGTAGCTGTTTCCCCCAGTTCACTGGATATCATGCTAATGGTGCCTGGTGGGTTGGAGGTAATTTAAAAGAGTGTGCGGAGAGCTATTGGAAATCAAGCCTGGTGCAAGCAGTCTAATGCGCGCGCTTTTAATAATGATTTTTTTTTCATTGAGTCGAGAGTGGAGCCATGGTGAATAAGATGCTGGCTCACTAGCCCTGAGGTCGCGTGTTCGATCCCTGCATTTGCCGAGAAAGTTCATTGGGATTTCCCGACGTGGTTTCCTCTTGTCAGTGGTGCAGGACGAAGGGCCTGTCAAGGACAGCTGTCTAGTCGTTCGGATAGGACGTAACAACCGAGGTCCCTTGTATACATTGGCGTGCATGTAAAAGATCCCTTGGCAGTTGATATATGGCAATTTGATATAAGAGTAGGTCATAGTGCCGCTGCCAGGGCACCATTTCCCTCATAGCACACTGTATGACGTATGTCTGTCACCATTGCCCAGGTCGGAGCAGAACAGTAGGACGTTAAACCCCATTTCATTGAGGCAAGTGGCATGGTTGTCCTTCGGTTCTTTTCCACATCCACATACAATGAAATGGAGGTTTAACGCCCTAGTGGTCTACTTCATCCGGGCTCGTGAAGACTTTGACCTGTGACGTAATCCACAGGTGAACAGAGACATGCGCTATACACACACACACGAAACTATTAACTCCACATATCTATTAATAACTTATCAATCGAAATATATCCCATTCCTTTATTTATCACACAAGCAGATCAGCTGTTCTAATCGGGTAGCTGTTTCTTCCAGTTGATTGGATGTCATGGTAATGGCTCCTGATGGATTGGAGGCAATTGCCTGTACAAATTCCTCACTTACTCGAGTACCAATACCAATAGCGTACAAAGCTATATCCTCAACCGTCGCCGTGTTGGCGTAACTGGCGACTTGGCTTATTGTGGAGGACTCGTAAGCTACAAAGACAAACAAATGAATTTGAGCACAGTTGTACGTACCTATTCGACAAGTTAATTATCGCCTAAAAGATTTGCAACTACAAGATTTGCAACTGCCACGTCACACTATTTCAAGCGTAGTACCCAGTGTTTATGAGAGTGAAAGAGAAATTAGGTGTAACGTCCACTAGACACAAACCAGGCGTTGCGGGACCAACACATGGTTCAATTTTATTTCCATAATTCGGTTGCACATAGGGGCCTTAGCAGTGGGAGGGAATCGGAGAAAACCCACGAGGATGGACAGGCGACTCTTCTCCTTGTCACGTACAACCGGGGAATCGAAACCACGCCAGTTGACCCAATAACAGACCTTATGATACACACGTGCTAACTATTCGGCCATCTAGCCCTGTCAGTGTTTATGAAAGGATAAACATCTGTTTCGCGCATAATATCCATGGCTATATTTTCAATTAAAAACGAGTAAAAATAAGTTAGACTATCACTGGTAAGCTAATACTATTGACTTGTGAACCTGGACCTTTCAGTTATGACCAATTTTGTCATTAACTGATACAAATGATCATCATTCTAAACTGATGCTTAATATGTATAGAAATTGGTTAGCAATTTTTCAGTTGTCAATAATTAGCACGTGGGTAACTAGCTGTAAAACATGTCACTACTTGTAACAACCATCACTATTGAATACATAAACCTTGACAATAGTGGTGTATATCATTCCATAGTCACTGTTATACCTTACTGACACAACACTTATTTAATGACTTCTGTCAGATTATTATCAATGTAACTAATAAACATTACGAATATAAAATGAGGATTTTCTTTATAACAATTCTTTGTTCCTAAGTCGACAAGGGATTGGTTAAACCCAAGTGTAGAATATGTCATAAATTGTTCTTCATCAGATTAAAAAACATATATTCACCTTCTATCACGATACCAATTTGTCGAATACCCGTTCTTCCGAACCTTCTCAAATTACTCACTAATTCGTCTACTGCCACATTAAGACGTGGTGGGCCGGGTATTTTAGAAATACCACCGATGCGAGACTGCTGTGTTGTGGTGTCGTCAACTCCTAACATCAGGCGATTTAAATCAGAAGGGGCAAAACCACCATGGGCGATGAATCCGAACCGCCTAAGGTTGCCATCAATTCTCAATTCAGTATAAAGCTTCTGTATTAAATCCCTTTCCTGCGCAATCTCATCATCCGTTATAAGGCTAGAAACGTCAACAAGACCCATGACGTCAAATGACTGGTCTTCACATAGAGGACTTGGTGCTGTAATTACAAAGATATTTCAACATTTACAATATACGCCAACATCAATTACATGTTATTTAGAGAAAGAAAGAGAGAGAGAGAGAGATCAAAGTATGACCACACGTGTAGTGCTGGGGACTCGAAGTATAACATTTATGCGTAGTGCTGGAAACCTCAAAGTATAACATTGTGCGTAGTGCTGGAAACCTCAAAGTATAACATCTGTGCGTAATGCTGGAAACCGCAAATGAGCTTGTGTATTTTAAGTCTTGAAACAAAGAGTTGTGTCTTGACGAACCTGAGAAACCAATAGTGTAACCCACCGCACATACTATAATAAATGTTCCCTAAAAGGAATAAGGGGGTGGGGGTGGATGGCCGAATGGTTAGCACGTGACAAGGAGTAGGGTCGCCGGTCCAACCTCGTGGGTTTTCTCTGGGTCCTCCTGTTTTTTTTATATAATATAGTTTATTTGCAAATACATACAGATAAGTATAATACAAATGGGATCAGAACAAATTGTACAATTTACGAATCTTCTCCCCATTTATCTCTCTCTCTCTCTGTAAAAGGGGTTGCGTGACCTATTATCATAGCTACCCCATTTCGGGCGATACAATATTCTAAACAGCATTACCAGTATCCAAGCAATCAGTACTGTCACAAGACCTTGTTTCCTCAGAATCACCAGGGCAGTCGGCTCCACCAAGCCCCGGAGGAGGGTTGTCACATACTCTACTCCTCTTCTGTTCAATAACACCACATGTTACAGAACAACACATACTAAACTCAGACCATGTTCCCCAATTACCGTCAACTGAAAAATAACTATGTGTTATAGTGTGCGATTGTCAATTGATCTACATTTGTTTGTGTCTAAATGCCGGGTCGCATCTTTGTGTATTTATGTATGGAAACGGGATTTTAAAACATCTCACCAGGACATTCAATCGTGTTACAGCTTCTTGTTTCAGTACCATCACCATTACAATCAGCTCCATCATAAGCTGGAGGAGGATTATCACAAGATCTAGATCTGCTCTGTGTTCCCTCACCACATGTTACAGAGCATGAATTAAACTCAGACCATGGGCCCCAATTACCATCAACTGAAAAAACAACAATTTGTTTTCATATCATCACACTTCATTCACACAGTAGAATCCCACGTTATGATTGACCGAAAATATCAATTTACATATTATATTGTGGGTTTCTCTATTTATTTACATTTGTGTGTATACAAATTGTCATCTAAATGAGAAAATACACTTCATTAAGTGACTGAAAATATCAAGTCTATTCTTCTTGTTACCCCAAGTTATCACTAACTGGAAATATCATGTTCGGTCTCGTAATGGCGGATTAGTTCAAACATATTTGGTTATGTTTTTGATCGCTAATTTCTACGCCCAAACTACACAGGTACCGAAAAGTTATTTCAGTAATGGCGGATCAGTTCAAACATATTTGGTTATGTTTGTAATCGCTAAATTCTACGCCCAAACTACAAAGGCACCGAAAAGTTATTTCAGTAAGTTTGATTGAAATTGTACCTCAAACCATTTGCTCTTACATCAAACACGAAAACAAAAATGTGTACAAAACAAGTCGAATTTCTTAAAGCTGTGTTATTGGCAAACTGTCAAACATAAATATTAATCTATGTAAAATTTACAAAACAGATGTTTCCAAACACTGTAGATCTAATTTAAGACATCAACTCGTATTATTGAATTGTTATTTATATAAAGATATTACACCAGGTTTAACATGTATATTTCGAGCCACAAATCCATTTTATTTTCAAGATTTAAAACAAAGTACGGATATTATTGGCAGTTACAGTCACGACTATATTAACACTTTTAAAGTAAGGATAATACATGTATTGGCATTTTTAGTCAATGCAATATTATGCAACATTTTATCAATTTTGCAAGGCAAATGCAGCGAATAATAAGTCTAAAAGCGGTTGTCCGAGAACAAGCTAAAAAAGATTTTTCGTTCAATCAGGGGCCATAATCCAGGATGTTACGATATGCGACAGTATCAAAAGCAACAAAGATCTTCGGGATCTAGACATGCATATCAACATCGGATAACAATTGTGGTTTCTAGAGAGGCCACAGAGGCTAAAAACACGATGTTCCGTGCAATTAGATTCCATAATCCAGGAAGTTATAAGATAAATATGCGCGAAGATCGACAGAAGCCGAGAACTGGGGGTTCAAGTGTCATCAAATTCGGATAACCATTTTGGCTCATAAAGGGTTCACAACCTTGGTATAACATGCGTCTACACTATTTGCGAACGAGGAGCAGCCATTTGTGACAATGTGTTCCATAACTTTAATCAAATTCACTATATTATAAAATACGAACGATTATTCAGATGCATTGATCTCCAGCTGGTTTTGATAATATTAGATATTATGTTTTCAACTCTACTAAGAATGTATTCGCTGTGTTGGAATTACAGACGAAATTAATCCCACGTGTCAGTGACAAGCTACAATCAGCGAGGATCAGCTAAATGACGTGGTATATATAAACAACTCCTTATATGACAATGACTTTGTGATGTTCAGACTCAATTTCCTTATAAGCAAGCGGTTCGTATCCATTTTGTCCTAGTGGTGGACACTATCAGGAGTTAACTGACAGTAAGTCAAACTTGGAAAAGAGTTATATTTAGTTATATTACAACAAATTACACAATTTCTTTCTGAAAATGTTCAAGTATATGCTGAACGTTTACTTTCTTTGTCTAAAAAAGCATATAATTCTACCGAAATTGTTTCAAAACCACTTCAGCGGCAATTAGTAGGATATTTCATTACGGGATTGTTAGATGATCTTTTAAAAATGAAATTTAATTGCGACAATCCGAAATTTATAAAAAGTGACAGCTTTGGCCATTTTATAACACAATTTGCAAGCCCGATTTGTGTTACCGTTAAAATCAACATTATACACCAAGTTTTACACATAATCATGATCTAATAGAAGTTGGTCATCTTAGGCCAATGAAAAAATGCCAGAAATATTATAATTACGGACATCGAACTAATGAGTGTAGGTCACTGCTGAGTTCACCAACTGCCATAAATAGTGTTAGGGATACTAAAACACCTTTTTATTCAAATAGGTCTAATTTTGTAAATAATTTTGTCGGTCAGTTCTGGACCAATTTTCACGAAATTCAAACTCGGACGTAAATGAGAGTGTAACGGTCGTATTTTAATATTTTTTTATAACTGGATAGAAATTGCGACCTCCAGAGAGGACACAAGATAAACAAAGCAATCGGGCGATAAGACAGTAAGTTATTCTCCACTACATGACATTATCGAACGGAACCGAGATCGTTGAGATATAAATCCTATATTTCAAATTTCGTCGAAATCGGATAACAATTGTGACCTGTAGAGTGCCCCCCCCCCCCCCCCAACAAATGTGAACGGACGTCCGAGAATGTGGGCGTATAAAAATAATTTATTTCGATTTATTCAAAATAGACTATAATCTGAAAAACAGGAGATGGAAACTGTATTAATTAAAATGGTGTGCAATTGTTTTTTAAGAGATTCGATTATCTATAGTTTGTATACTGTAATTGTATCAACATAATCTATTCACAAGATTCGATTATCCATAGTTTATACTGTAATTATATCAACATAATCTATTCACAAGATTATAGAAAGCAGAAATATTATAACATTAAAAACTACATTTTAATTAATACAGTACTCTATTTGACATAAATATCGAAGTCTTAAGTAAATTCCTGAATTATCCTCTACCTTTTATTCACAGAGCCTACTGGACATTTATTTCTAACAGCGCTCCTTGACTCACTCGCGGAAACAGGCTCTCTTTTAGGGATGGCCTCACATGTTTGTCTTGTGTGCGCCCTTGGGAATCCAGAATTTTTTTTAGTCAGATTGCATGTTTTAATTTCTTTATAATATATCAAAATTGCCATACTTTTATTGGAAATTATTAAAGATCGGATTTTTTACTTGTATATAATTCACCAAAATTGCTATACTTTTATTGGGAATAACTACCCGATCAATAGGAGATGTATGTTTAAATAACAATCACAATGATTTATTTTATTAAAGTGTTACAAATCAGCAAAAACATAATACAAATGATTTCTGGTATGTTTAAATAACAATCACAATGATTTATTTTATTAAAGTGTTACAAATCAGCAAAAACATAATACAAATGATTTCTGGCCAAAAATCACTCATGAAATCCTAATTATGAGCGAATTTGTAACGGATAGCGGCGCTACGATCACCTCGTAAATCGAATTTCAACTGCCAAAGGAACTCTTGCGTGTACGCCTGTGTTTTTCGTTGCATCCGAACGTTGTCCCCTGTCCAGAATTATGATCACAGGAATCTTAATACACCATGCTACTATTATAAAACCAATCGTTAAATATCGTTGGTTTTCTCTGGATCCTGCGGTTCCCTTCCACTGCTACAGACCCCTACGCGCAAGCGAATTATTGAAATAGAATTGGACCATGTGTAATTCCCGAAACGATCTTGTTAACTTCGAGTGAAGCTTCTCTCTGTTTCTCGGCAACAGCTTAAGTTATAAACTAATTTAGATAAACATAAACCATTGTGGTATTTTCCCTCCGAAGATAAGTTCCAAAATTCTTAAATTAGCGCAACTTCCGTAGCAGACAAAATCTGTTTGGCCGACCTAAATCTGTCCACTACGGCTAGAGATCATATGAACGTTGTATTATTGAAATCGAAAAATAAATAAATAATTCCATCAATGCACTTTAACCTTTCACGGGTAACAGAAACTTGTCAAGTAAATATATTAATTAAAATTTCAAATGATATTATTTTTTAAAAAAATAAATAAATGTCAATTAACCACTTTAAATACATTTCAAATGTTATTAATTTTAAAAGAATGTCAATTAACCAATTTAATTACATTTCAAATGTTATTAATTTTAAAAGAAATGAAATGAAATGAAATGGGGTTCAGCGTCCTACTGTAATTTTAAAAGAATGTCAATCAACCAATTTAATTACATTTCGAAAGTTATTAATCTTAACAGAATGTCAATTAACCAATTTAATTACATTTCAAAAGAATGTCAACCAATTTGGTAGTTTCGAAAAACTGTTAATTACAATTGAAATGATATTGATTTAAACAAAATTTCAATTAACAACTTTAATTACATTTCAATGTTATTAATCTTTGAAATGGTCAATAAGCACTTAAATTACAATTGAAATGATTTTAATATGAACTTAGCCATAAACTCTTGACCATTTGATGAACAATTACATCTTTTATGGACTAAGGTCACTTATGAGAAACTGGTTATTTCTCCGTAATGGTAGAAGGTAGATTCTAATTGTTCGCTTTCTGTAAAGTAATACTGTTTATTTATTTTATTTTTTTAAAAGGGATATTGGTTTTAAAAAGTAAATGGCGTTATCTTCGTTGGCAATCAATAATTTTATATAATTTTATATAATGGATATTTGCTTTAGTCAACATTCACACCATCATTTGATACGTTACCAGCTGAAGTTAACAAACACAATTTCAACATATTTTGGCTATATTAATTCTACAGATTTAAAAAATTCCCGTATTTGTTTTGGGTCTTTTTGTTTGAATAAAAAAAAAACTGTAGGCATAGATGGTTTTTACACAAAATTATGTATTTTATAATTTTATTGCAAAATGCGTCTATGAAAATAGTATATTTTTTTTATCTTCAAGCCCCTCTGGAACATTTTAACAAGTATTTGAAAACGCACCTGTTCTTAACGGTCTTTCCTCGGTAATGATATGTTATGTATTTATGAAATTTATAAAAGATTTTACGTTAATTTAAATTGTTACATATATATCTTATTTGTATTTTAGTTTATTTATTTTATCAAATTTCTGTACCTTATTTCATAAAGCGCGCGTAAAACAATAAAAATATAATTCGTTACCATGGCAATCGGTAATTAAGTATATAATAATAGAAATAAAATTCGTCACCATGACAATCGGTAGCTAAGTATAAAAATTGTGTATATAAATTGTATAACAATAATAATAATAGAAATAAAATTCTTTACCATGGTAACTAGGTATATAAATTGGCACTGATTTTATGTTTTAATACATTGTCTACTGATCAAACATACAAAGTTTCATCAAAATCGACCCGCCAAAGAAAAAAAAATATGTCACCTACAGCTCCCCCTTAAATCTGTTCATACGATTAAATATAATTATTGGTCGGTTCGTTAAGTTTAAAAACAAAATGAACAGGTGGATATGCGCAGCCAATTATTGAATTATTAAATATTTTAATATTAATTTTTAAAAAAATATTTACACAATTAATTCTACAAATGTGTCAATTAAAAATCTCTAACGCAAAAAGTTAAATTCTGGAATCGGGTAAAGTGAAATTCTTGAAGCTGTGGTAACGGATGCATTAGTAATAAAAATAATAAAAAGAGCTCACGAGAACAGCATATGTTGCACGCCTCTAATCGTCTAATTTTGTTGCAATTTATCCGTTTCCCTGCCGCCTTTTTACCATCCACATCAACAACCATGATAACAATAACAAGAACCAGAGTTGCGGCCACCAACATATACCGCATCTTGATGTATCTTCTAGTTGTATAATATACGTGCACGAGTACAACCAACTGGAGAACGATTGTGGAACATTGGGAATGTACCTACTTTTATACAGATTTCATATGTCGGCAGATGTCGTTTTTTTCCACATAAAAGTTTCAATGATACAATATTGACTTTACACATGAACTTTGCAAATAAGACAAATATTTTATTTATGGAAATAAGCAAACAGGAAGTTGCAGTAACGGTGCATGATTTTCATTGGTCGAAACATGAAATCCTCAAACCCGTACATATTCCGGTTCTGTGAACTATGGACCAGGGGCGCTCGCCTTGTTATGTATAATTATTGATTATTAGCGATATTTTTCCTTATGTATAATTATTGATTATTAGCGATATTTTTCCCTATAGGTAGTTATCAACAATTTCGCAAACCAGGAAACTTTCTTTAAATGCTATGCAATTAGAATCCTATCGAAGTTACTCTTTTTGTGCAAAATGCTTATTGCTAATAAACAGTATGCTTTGAATGAGATTTCCATATACTTTTATCGCTTGAGATTTATCTTTACATCCCACTTCTACCTCGTTGCCAGTGGCAACCTTTAATAAAACTGTCCTGTTTATTTCCAATACAGGCATAAAAGTATCCGTGTATCAGAAATGAACAGTCCGCTTTCCAGAAAGAGTACTGTTCATTTCCGACAAACAAACAATCATCGCCTAGAAAGTCATAAATTTTATTACAAATAAATTTCAACTGACGAACCATCCGCCGATGAACACTTCACGAGGATTGACCCACGTTGTGCAGTGTCCTTTACATAAAGTTTAATATAATTGCAGCCCTCTACGCCAGGGACAAGTTGTTTTGACGATGTTGCTGGCTCTATGTTCACCGGCTTCGTCAAAACAACTTCGTCTTTCAATACGGAGTGCAGTCTAAAAAAAACACGTGACTGTTTTACGCTCAGGGTATTTGTCACATTTCGCTTGACACGACTCGATAATAAATGCAATTTTTCACATTTCGCTTCACAATACTCGATAGAAATGTGATGTAAGTAACTACTACATACATACAATTATGCCACTATGTCAGACAGGCCCGTAACTAAAGGGGGGGGGGGCACTTCAAAAAGTTTCGCCCGCACCCCTGTGAAAAAATTGTCGACCATAAAAACAATAGATATACATTACGTCCGTCAATTTTACAGCACGCCTAAGAACACTACCCCCCCCCCCCCGCCCCCCATTGCTCTGACCGGTTTAACGTCCGACCGGGAAATGATGACGGGATACGCCATGCAGTGTGCTATTAGGGATACTTTCCTCCAATATCGCCATATTCTTATTGCGTATTCTAACAATCTAAACCAATATAGATGTTATTCCTGCTAGGCCCTATGTCCTGGACCACGTTCAAAGCTAGACGAAACCGGAAAATCCCGAGCTACATTCTCTGCCAACATCGGAATCGAAACCGAAATTTCGAAGAAGAGTATGGCGGAAACCCTGTGGTCTGGGCAAAATTTCTCCCATGCAATATGGTGTACGCCCGCCGCAATTAGTCCATTGGTACAGAAACGTTATAGCACAAATTTTCCAAATTTGTACCTCAACCGACTGGAAAGTGCTCTAAATGACATCCACGTCGGCATGATTTGCACCTCAACCGTCGGTGTAATTTTCAATATGTTCTGGGTGGAGGCTACCGATAGAGGAAAGGTTAATGGGGTTTTACTGGACATTCAACACAAACCTTGTCGTTTCCACTATCCAATTAATGTAGAACCCCCTTTCATCCCAAATACCCGCTACTTGTGAACCCGCTTTCATCGCAAATACCCGCTACTTGTGAACCCGCGTACATCCCAAATACCCGCTACTTGTGAACCCGCGTTCATCGCAAATACCCGCTACTTGTGAACCCGCGTTCATCCAAAATACCCGCTACTTGTGAACCCGCTTTCATCCCAAATACCCGCTACTTGTGAACCCGCGTTCATCGCAAATACCCGATACTTGTGAACCCGCGTTCATCCCAAATACCCGATACTTGTGTTCATCCCAAATACCCGATACTTGTGAACCCGCGTACATCCCAAATACCCGATACTTGTGAACCCCGCGTGCATCCTAAATGCCCGATAATTGTGAAAGCACTTGTATCTCGACTTCCTCAAGAACGATGCGTGATTTTCATTGGTCGGATATAATATAGAGTTTGTCAAGGCTAAATCTACGTTGTATTAAATATATTATTCTATACGTTACGTATTGGCTTTCTATTGATAAAAACACACACATGTTCATGGTCTGATCAGACATATTAACAGTGGATTAGTGCTCTATTCAATGTCTTATAACACATTCTATTTGACTAATGGCCTACTTCTTATATTGATTTAATTGGTTACTTTCACGTGATATTCATGCCGGATAACTTAGATATTAACGTACAGTACTTTTGAAAGAAACCAAGCATACATAAAGTACAAGCTTATAAGCGACGGAGGGGGGTTGGATGGCCGAATGGTTAGCACGTGTGCGCTGTATCATTGAGTCAACTAGTGTGGTTTCGAATCCCCGGTTGTACGTGACAAGGAGTAGGGTTGTCTGTCCAACCTCGCGGGTTTTCTCCTTGTTCTCCGGTTTCCTCCCACTGCTAAAGACCCCTGCATTGGCCGAGAAAGTTCACCCAGATTGTCAGTGATGCAGAACGGGGGGCCTGACAAGGACAGCTGTCTAGTCGTTCGGATAGGACGAAAATCCGAGGTCCCGTGTACACATTGGCGTGCACGTAAAAGATCCCTTGACAGTTGGAATTCGATATAAGCGTAGGCCGTAGTGCCGCTGTCCGGGCAAAATTTCCCTCATAGCACACTATATGGCGTATGCCCGTCTTCATTAGCCCAGTTCGGAGCAAAACAGTAGGACGTTAAACTCATTTCATTTCATTTCGGCTAATTAATAAAATATTAAAAGTTGAATGTGACATTTGACCTTCATTGAAATATGTCAGGAGATAATATGGACACATTCGGACCTAAAATTCCAATTTTTTCACCGCCCAAACAACAAAAGCACCGAACAGTTATCTCAGTACGTTTGATGGTCATTATTTCCACGGTTTTTCACCTTTCAAAACATACTCAAAGCAATCGCTGTAAAAGCAGACAATTTCAAACACGAAAACGAAATTATATACACGTCGAAATTCGAAAAGCTCAGTTATTTGCAAATTGTCAAACATAAATATTAATCTATGTAAAATGTACAAAACAGATGTTTCCAAATACTGCAGGTGTATTTTAAGACATTAACCCGTCTTATTGAATTGTTATTTATATAAAGAGATTATATCATATTAAAACATTTTCTAAATATGTTTTATGTATATTTCGAGTCACAATTCATTAAAATCCATTTCATTTTCAAGAGTTAACACAAGTTTCTATATTTCTTTCAAAATTCAGATTGTATTGACTTGTATGCAAAGTTATATTATTCAACATTTCTTAAATCAAGAATGGAAACTGAATTAATTCAAACGTTGTTTTTTTTTGTGCGCGGTTTCTGTCTATCTGTACCCGTATACAGCTGTGTCGCATGAACGCGTGTAAAATTAAACTTTACGCCTGAAAAATACAAAACAGAAGACGTGGCATGGGCAAAACAAATATACAATGTCGAATGGGAGGAGGGTGGGTTTTTTTTAACGATACACGGTGCTTCTTTGAAATTAACTCCATTTATATGGAAGGATAAAGTTGCCAATATTATTTCATTGTTCACGATGCAAACTGCAAATGTTAGTAGTTCAAAATACGTATTTTAGTTTTGTAGAGTACTTAGTACTGTAGGCCTAGAAGTAGATCTATAGGTATACGTCTTTAGGCTATCTAACTTATGATAATATGACCTCTCGCTCTAACTTGTCTAAGCTAAATCAAATCAAGGTAATTTCGGGACCAACATGGTTCAGTTTTATTTCAATAATTCAATTGATGGGTCTTTTTTTTTAGCAGTGACTGAGTGAGAGGAGACTGGAGGAGGGGAGAAACCCACGAGGTTGGACAGGCGACCCTACACCTGTCGTGTACAAGCGGGGAATCGAAACCACGGCACTTGAATCCATGACATGTCATAGGTCTAATAAACGTATTAATATCCGGTTATTCACTCAAGAATAAATTGATCTATTTTGCTTTTTATTCGAGAGATCGTTAAAAACTACATTGTCCAAAACGATATATTACTAATAAATCAGTAGTGCTCAATTATATATTTTATTTACACCTAATTGTCCATCTTCTTTCAATTTATCAAAATTGCAACTTTAGAACTGTATTAGTGAAATTAGAAGATGGATGTCAAAGAACTTTCTAAAATTGAATGATGATAAAACCGAATATTTGTTATTTGACTGAAGGCATCAATTAAGTAAATTTGCACATACCCCCCCCCCCCGTTGTAATTGGTAATTGTGATATATTTTCATCTTATTCTGCTCGTAATATTGGGGCAATCTTTGATAGTTTTATGCTTATGGGAGCTCAATTAAATATTATTTGTAAATTGGGCTATTTTAATATCAGAAATATAGGTAAAATACGTAAATTTGTAACTGTAGAGGCCACTAAGTCACTTGTTAATTCTCTGGTCACTTCCCGATTAGATAACTTTAATTCACTTTTAGTTGGTTTACCTTTTAAGCTGATGGATAAATTACAAAAAGTACAGAATACTGCAGCGAGACTTGTTACTTTAACTAAGAACTGTGACCACATTACTCCTGTTTTAGTCTCTTATGGTCAGCGCTCTTTTAGTTATCAAGCACCTGTTTTATGGAATAATCTACCATTTAGTTTAAGATGTTGTACATCTCTGTATTCTTTTAAAAAACAACTTAAAACACATTTATTTAATCAGGCTTTTAACTGACTCTGTATACAATTGTTAACATGTTCATAATCTTGTTGTTTATTTATGATTACATTGTCACTTTGTAAAGTGCCTCTGAACATGTTATATGAAAGGGCGCACTATAAATATGCTGTAATAATAATAATA